GACTCAAATAGATTGTTTCCAATCATTAAAGATAGAACGATGTGTACTTTTAAGTGTCAAATAATTAAATTCAATGATCACATTTCAACTTGATTGATAGAACTTTATTATTATTAACAACTTGATAATTTAACATTAGTTGTAACATGAAATAATCTAGAATTTTGGACGAGACTATAATTTATGAACGACCCAATCAGGTATTAAATAACAGGTCTTGGATTTTGGTGCGAAATTCTCTCATCCATTTGGCTAAATAGAGTTTCGTTATTATAGCTGATGTTAGTTCGTGATGAAAACCCTAAATCTAATTCCTAACTCTAACCATCAACTGTAAATCATAATTCGAATTCCTCACACTGGTTCATAACCCTCATTTGGTTCTAGTTATTAGGTGAACACTCTCAAGGTTATTTCAGCGTCATCCATAAATTATAGTCTGACCAAACTGTCTCGAAATCTGATATTTTTGACTTATGGATTCTCGAATATAGAGTTTTCCAGTGAGTCTTCATTGAATTGTAGTTCATCAATCTGAGCTTAAATCATCAACTCGTGAATTCAGCTTGTTTTTTTTGTTTTGTTTTTCATGAAACGTGTCATTCGATTATTTTCAATCATACTAATTGATTCATTTATTTATTATGAATAAGATCACATTTCCTTATGAGTCACTATTCATGAGTAGTTCATCATAATGGATGTATAACCAGTTGATACTCGATTCGTTTGTTTATTTTTATGAATAAAGTCACACACAAAAATAATTAAAAATCACTAATTAAAATTGTTGTATCTTAGCGACGATTAAGTGACGGGTAACTTCTGAGAACTATTAATGGATTAATATTATACATATATTCTTATTGTATAATTGTTCAGCAACTAGATTATGTATAGTTATATTTCTCTTATTATAAGCTTCATTTTGACCCATAGATTATTATAATACGATTTACTGTTCTTAAGTTATGTTCAGTTTATTGATTACGATCTCACACGTTCACAGCCACTTTTTGGCTTGATCTTGTATAAATGTTATTTCCTATTTTATGGTATGATGCAATCTGTTTTGCTGGTATTTAAACCAAGTATGTTTGTAATAAATAATTCTCATAGTAGAAGCTGTTATTGGTGTTCTGAACTTAAATGGCAGGATTAGGCAAACAAAGGACTAATAAAGATGCAAGGCTGCTCATACCGGTCGAACGTCACTAGTTTAGTACAGTACAAGAGTGAATAAGTCGTATTTCAATTGACGAATATATCACATGATAATTAGCCAGGCTTAAAGTCACAATAAAAACTTTTCAAACACACTTATACAAGGATATTTCCAATTCTCGAAAGTATTCACAACAATATAAGTCAATAATTAATTTTATTTAAATATTTATAAAATTAAAATAGTACATTATTTAATAGTTGAATTCATGAATCAATTAAAGCTAGACTACCATGGAAAAACTTGAAAGCACTGGATCGCTTTTTCGTCCTAGTATGAGGCTCCTCAACAGTGAGCATCCATGATCTCTCAGAATTCTAACCTAGGATCTATTGGTTTCGCACTCGAACGTTTAATCTGTAAACCATTAAGTTGACATCTAATGATGTTAATGTCTAAATTCAACCGAGTATTGTACAATATTTAATGGTATATTCAATAATGGTTATACTCTCTTGAAAATTCAACAGTCAAAAGTACATACAAACTATTGATTATCGATGTACCTGATTATATCAGAAATCAATTATAATCATATAAAACTTTATGAAACTATCCAGTTATTAGTTTTCAATTCAAAGTAATTTTTGCATAATATTGTTATGTTATTTTATTAAAAGAATTAGAAGTTAATCTATTCTATATGGATTTTATCTTAAAAAATGGACAAAACTAACAAATCAAATAAGAGACTAGGAAATTAATGAAAGTTGATGGTTATAGGATTTATCAAAGAAGTAACAATCAGTGGAGCTAATCCGTATCGGGTAGATATAGGTATCTACCTCAGTACAATAGAAGATGGTCGCACAATTACGTGAATTGGTTGGATTTAGACATTAACACCGTTGGATGCCGGCTTAGTGGTCTAGAGATTAATTGTTCGCGCGCGAGATCGATAAGTCCTGGGTTCGAATACCGCTGGTGGGATCGTGAGTTAGCACTGCTAAGGAGTCCCACAATAAGACGCAACAGCCGTCCAGTGCTTCCACGTTTTCAATAGTGGACTAACATCAATCAATTTATGATTTCAATCAAAAATATAATAATCTCCACAACCCCATATTGATAAAGTTCTAATTGTCTGGATTATATAGTTGAAGATTAATATACAAAATTCTTTATCGTTATGAAGTTTACATTAAAATTAGATATCTGGTACTGTAATGTTTGATTAGTGAAAGTTTTGCATCTAGACTGAGAATAAGTTGTATATTGAGGAAATTAATAGAGAAACTGTAATATTTAAAAATCTGAATGAAAAAAAGTACAACAGTAAACATGAACTTACAACTAAGTAAATATAGAAGATGTACATACATTTACGAATGAAATCAATCGATATTTGTTCACAGCAATACAGGTTTGAAATCAGGAGAATCTGGTAAATAAAACTCGGAGTAATATTTTAATCAAATTAACTAGTGGTAAACAATGAACATTGATTCCAAGTTTTTTTTCAGTTATATCCTGATGCGAATAATGAATAGTAACTGTTGGGATCTATTTATGGTCTAATACTATACATATATTTTTACTGTATAATTGTTAAATAACTAAACTATTCATATTCGTGTTCCTCTTATCATAAGCTTTATCATAGCCTATAGATTATTGTTATACGATTTACCGTTCTTGAGTTATACCCTGTTTATCAATTACTATCTCCCACATTCACAGCCACTTTTGGCTAAATCTTGTACAAATGTTATTTCCTATTTTATGATACAATGTGGTCTATTTGATTTGTATATAAACCCAGTATATTTGAAATAAATAATTCATATCGCAGAGGCTGAGATTGGTGTTCTGTACATAACAGGCAGGACTAGGCGGAAAGCAAGACCGATAAGGACTCTGGACTGCTCGTACTTATTTTATGCATCATTGGTCCGGCCGACAACTCGTTGTTCTCTAATTGGCGGTATCATTACGTTATACATTGATAGGGCAAAAGACCATTAGTTATAACATCTTCATACTTCCTTCTTCATTTAATCTTCTTAATCGGTGTTTTATAAATCGATATATTGACTTACCTAAAGTAAATCTATAGGCAAAAGTCAGATAAATTGAACAACTTGAGAATTGAATATCATTTGGTTTAATTCAATACAAATATTAACACATTTACAATAAGGCATTACTATAAAAACATGTAATCTCACTCTAGCCATAATTTACTTCATTACGAAAAACTGGAACGTTTAGAAGGAAAATGAACTTTTGTTTTGGAATTCAATGTAAAATCATGAAAATTTTCAAACGCGATAGCGTTTGAAGCGAATGGTACTGGGTTCGAGTCGCAGAGTGAATATCAACTCAGATACAGGTACATCCAGTTGACGAGTCCTAAATAGAACGAAACATGCGTCCTGGATTCCATTGCTAGCCACTATCCATCATTGCTTACTAAAAGCTTGTGAATTAAGGTAATATCGAGGTATACGCACAATATGCACATATGCCTATAACAGACTGATCAATTGCAGTCTTAAATCTCAATGGGAAGATACAAGCCAAATAGTACCAAGTGAATCGAAAACACATATTCCTACATTTTTTTAAAATCTTTAAATGAGTGCGAACATTAGCTAGTCATGTACATTTAAGTTACAAAACATACTGGCCTATTTATAACGATCATTAATCTCTAATGGTCTAAGTATACTTTCACATTTATGAGAAACGTGTTTTATTTATTCTGTATATTTTAGTATATAACTTAACCATAAAATTTTTAACCTTAGTGATTAATATACCGGTACTTACTAAGACGAAATATCATAAATAATTCAGTACCAAACTAACAAAAATTTGTACTAATATATTAAGTAGTTAGAGACAATCAGCAGGAAACCATACTTAACCTTGGTTTTACGATTGATGATACTTGTTAGCAAGATATGCCTTCAAACTTGTGAGAAATGATACCATTTGTGTTATTTTTAACCCTAGAAACTCAACTACACTGAGACGTTAACATGGAACTTTTAGAACTTCAACCGGCCGCCTGTAGAAATTAGATATATACACTTATCGATCACTGATGAACGATTATTCCGTCATCAGAAGAATTCAATTAGCACTGAAAGAGTAAACAACCGTGATAGTAACTATTTCTTAGTCATCAATTGATTTTATTTGTATGAATATATTCCGACAGCATATTATAATATTGAATAAAGCCATTAATAATAATAATAATAATAATAATAATAATAATAATAATAAACTTAATTTTGTACCTTACTACTTGTAAATGTAATAAGTAGTTTAAGCCATATAAACACATTTTCCATAAAATTAATTAACAGCCTAATCTAAAATAAATGACTCATTTCATGAATGTTGTTATGATTATTGTAATTTAATAGATACATGAAAAATGTGCATGGAAAATGAGTTACTCAATCAGTGAGTCATTTATATTCGGACTTATAGGAATACTCAAAAAGCCATATTGATATTTTATAAAAATTTAAATGATCCCAGTAATCTTCATTTCAATATGAAAAGTGACAGGTCAAAGAGTTATTTACGTAAGAAAATAGTTTATATTTTATGGCAAGTGAATTATTTCTGACCGGTGTACTCAATTTCCCATGTATCTCGTAAGTAATAAGGTAGGTAAACAATAAATAATGGGTAGTTGGTAGAGATCTATAGAAAACTCTGTATTTATGATTCAGTCCAGTAGACACTCTTCAAGAAGGACCTTGAGGAGGCCGATACTGTTAGCAATAATCGGATCTACGTTGTCCGATATCACATCATGGCTTTAATTTGGGTCGATAATGACTTTCTCCAATACCGAGATATTCACATTGGTTAGTCAATGACCGATAGTTAATGTCGTGTCTGTCTTCATAGTATACTAAGTCAGGTTGCTTAGACTAATTTTCACATTCCAACTTAATGGATAGAATCTGATGAACATCAAGGACTAGATAGATATTGCATTCTTTACTACTTAGAGATTAATCAGTGGAATATCTAAACTGTGAGTATTAGATCATTTGCCTTCATCATATGATGAAAATATTCAGTAATAGACCAGCAATTGGTTGTCAGACGTCTATTTCTTGTTTGCAAGAAACATAAAATAATTAAAAATATACAAGCAGAAATGGATGTACTGAGCCACCAAAGTAGTTCCTTCATTCCACACTAACTACTCAATTGAAATGCAGTCTCCCACTATACTAAATCAGTTTACATATACGTTGCAAACAACACATAGTTTTAAAAATAAAACGGAGGATTATTGAAGTAATTTACAAGTGAACTCTACAAAAATGGAGAATAAAAGAAAAACACATTTCCAATAATGGAGTGGCTATTAATTGATCGACATAATGTTGATATCTTCAAATATTTCAAAATGACTATCAATCAGATAAGTTAAATCTTCTAGGCTTTCTTAGTTCATCATTATCGTAAGAATTGAAATAAATTATAAAAGATATTGTGAATTTCCTTTATACTCCATATCCTTATCGTATACTTACATCACTACGTCTTGTGTAATAATTTGTACTATATACTGATACTATGCAACCAGTTGCATTACTAATAACGTGTGAGCATATAATGCAATGGATATTTATTTTAGAATATTATTGTGCACTTATTTAAACTAATAATATTCAACAGGATCTGTTGTGAGATTGTAACTCACTGATGACAATGGTGGATGTGTCGTTTAATTTCGTGGATTAGTTGAAATCACATATTAACACCGTCGGATGCCAACTCAAGAGGTTAAGCGTTCGAGCACGAGACCGATAGGTCCTGAGTTCGAATCTCGTGAGGTGGGGTCGTAAATGCGCACTGTTGAGGAGTCCCATACTAGGATGAAGCGGCCATCCAGTACTTTCAGGTTTTACATGGTGGTCTAGCTTCAAATGACACATGATCTCAACTATTGAAATTACTATGATATCCACAAAAACCCCTTCTGATAATAATATTCAGTCTAATTATGATTGTGATTGCATCTTCTCAATATTTGCAACAGACGTTTATGACTCTAATGTATTTGTTGGACATTTGCTTTATTGTAGCTGTTTACCTATTTTGGTTTTCCTTTCATACCAGCATTGTATTCCAACATAATTTCAACACAGTTATTACCAATCATATATCTCACCGTACTTTGTTACAGTGAACTCTATATATCAATTTAGGGAATAAATTTTCTCTGGTTGTACACGGTCTCAATAAATACTAGATGAGGTTTGTAATCCATTTCCTATATAATTTCGTAATAATAGTACCGTCTTGTATATAATCTTGCATTTTGGTTTGTAGAATTAGATACTTTAATCGATCGGATGGCTAAAGCTTGATGAGGAATCAACAGACACCACCTTGATCTTACATTACCATAATGAACTTTGTCTCTAATACTGAACTGTTTTATATCTCATTTCACGAAATCGAATAAATATTGTTTTCTTACCTTTTATCCAAGTTACTATAGGTTATTGTGGAGATTATTAAATTTGACGCTTTACACTATCGACTGACTTTATTTAGACGATCACTGAAAATCAGGAAGGACTGAACAGCTATTTTGTCTTAGTATTGGACTTCTCAACAATGCTAATTCACAAACTGATCTAATATCGAAACCATTACTCTGAATTCTGACTATATTCGTTTACCCTTCAGATAACTCAGTTAAATCCAACTGTTTACATTTCTAACTTTATTCAATTCATGATGTTAAGCGAACACAAACTAATGCAAATGGCAATATATGTCTTACTTCAAATATCTTATCTCATTTCTGTATATTTCCACCTTCTAGTAAATCTCCTTCTTTAATAGTTCGAATGACTTAATCTGTGGAATTATTTTCCTTTCATCTTCAATGTACCTCTTGTCTGAATTCATTTCTTATTCTTTTATAACTCAGAATATTCACTTATTTATTCGATAAGAAATCAACATTTTGAACGATTGTTACAATTCTTTAATATATCATTCCATTAGTTCCTTTTATGAATTTAAATAAAGCCAGAACGAACATTGATGCAGAATAATATAAATTCATTATATTTTGTGATTTCTCATCAGCTTCTTACAACCAAATATGCATATGTGGATGAGCACTGCTAATGAGCTCCATACTAGGACGAAACAGCTGTCCAGTGCTTCCAGGTTTTTTAAGGTGGTCTAGCTTCAAACGACTCATGATCTCAACTATTGAGATTACTATAATACCCACAAAAACCCCTTCTGATATCAAATATGTATTAGAATTTTACATTGAGCTAAGATATAGTGTGGAACAATCGACATAAGTGAATGCAAAGAATTGGAATGATTCCAATGTACTGAACAAGAACACGAGTAGGGACAAAAGAATGTTGAAATCATGAGTCAATTGAAGCTAGACCATCATGGAAAACCTGGAAGAACTGGACGGCCGTTTCGTCCTAGTATGGGACTCCTCAGCAGTGCGCATCCACGATCCCGCACCCCGTGGGATTCGAACCCAACCTATAGGTTGAAGTTAGACATTAACACCGTTGGATGCCGGCTCAGCGGTCTAGTGTTTAAGTGCTAGCGCGCGAAGCCAGTAGGTCTTGGGTTCGAATCCCGCGGAGTGTGGAATCGTGGATGCGCACTGCTGAGGAGTCCCATACTAGGACGAAATGGCCGTCCAGTGCTTACAGGTTTTCCATGATGGTCTAGCTTCAATTGACTCATGATTTCAACCTGTGAAATTTCTAAAACTCTCCACGAAACTTATTCTGGCAAAAGAATGTATTTGAGCACAAAATTACAGAGCATCTCAATAAAATCCATCATATCAAACTTAACAGTTCCTGTTGCAAACATCGATCCATTGTCTCGCATTTCATTGTTCATGCGTTTTCATACCGATTGCGTTCCGTTTCCGTTCTTTCCTCATCGACCTTCTACTGAAATGCATTCTATGCCTGACTACCGTTATATACTACTTGTGTGGATATAAGTAACCCACACCACAACAACACCAAAAAATCTCTAACCTGTTCTTGCATATATATATAGTTATCATTGATAACCTTTGTCATCCCAATTCTTTACATTCACTTATGTCAATTGTTCCACACTATTTCTTATCACAATGTAAAATTCTAATACATATTTGGTTGTAAGCAGCTGATGAGAAACCACGAAATATGATGAATTCATATTATTCTTTGATATCTATCTGGTTTTTATTTCATATTCTATAAATACACTAAAAAGTATTTACATTCATTATGTTTTTTAATAAATGGAATCATTGTATTAGGTTGTAAGGAGTTACAAAGTACTAAATGTAACAAATTAATTCATATTAAAGAGAGCAAAAATGAAGATTAGTGCAGAATAATATGAGTTCATTTCATTTTGTTAATTTCTCATCAAGTGCATAACCCCTAAATGCCCTGGTACGGCCGAGAGTAGGGAGAGTCAGCTATCTCTCTCTCTCTCGTAATGCTCTCACATGGTCACGTGCATACAACAACTCCAGGGAAGTTCTACTCACTGCCTTCTCGCGGCACTGCTGCTGTTTACGAAATTGAGAGGACGAGAAGCGAATGTCTGGCGCTCCAACTGGGTTGGTAGACACGAAGAGTCCTCCTAGGAGAGTTAAAAAACCCACATTCCAAACTAATGTTGCATACGGGCTCCAGTATTCTGAAGGAACAAATGGCGTATGAACCAATCGTTAGTTACCAGTTACCATGGGACTGTATCCCCTGATGTTGCTCCACTGCCTTATGGTCGAAGGCTCCGGGTGTGGCCTCCTAAGAAAACCACCTGTTTCGGCTTGGGCATCCGGGCAGTATCCCAGCCCTCACATAAATCGAATGCTTTTTGTGGCGTATATCTATTTGGTGCCTCCTTGTACCAATGTTTATGTGTTTAAATAAATAAATAAATAACATTTTAAATATCAAGGTTATTAGAGACATTAGCATACTGATAAATATGAAGGTGATTGGAGATATGTGTATCGTGATGTAACGAATATTTCAGTTGAGTTAATAAGATCATGAAGATTCTTTTGTTTTAGATAAATAAATAAAGTTTGAGAGGGAGAGTTCCAGAACATTGGACTAGTGTCACCAAACATTAAATGATTATGTAGTAAATTAAGTGAAAACAGACTGATGGTGAAAAAGAAACATTTAAGTTGAAATCAGTCAATTATAAGTTGAAGAAAAATGACAGTGATGTAATCAAAACTTTAGAAAGAGTTGGATGATGCAATAGAAAGGATTTAATGCTACTGTGGCAAAGAAATATTTACTACTGCTACTTTTTGAACACATAGATCTGGCTTTAGACGTTTGATCACCATAGCTTCAGAAAATTTCAGAAGATTGGAGTTCCATTGTTCATTAATCACCTTGAAAGACTTCAGTTTATCTAATTGATATCCTATACCAAGGAGGTTTCTCAAGATGGCACTGCTGAATGTTTTTAGTCCAGTTGACTTTAGACTTTTCGGAATATGTCCTTTGAATCGGACTTAGGTTCTTCTTTCTGTTCTATCAATGTAACTGTTTTGGCAGATACATGTAAATTTGTTTACACAGTTGGTGGTAACATGAAAGGGATACCTATAGACCTTTGAGTGTGTTCAAGAACATGTTGTTTTGAATAGGACAATCAGCTTAGCTACAGGATAAGTTCTTCCCAATACAGTTTTTAGTTTCATATCGATTGACCCTCTGACATCATCACCTCTGAATAAAAAAAGGCTTTTTGTTTGTTATAGTTTCTTTGGCTTTTTTTCATGTTTTGTATATTCCTCAATAAATTTTAATGAATACGCATCGTTCTTTAAACAGCTTTTCATATTCATTAGTTCCTCTTCTTGTGCATCAACAGTACGTATTTTTTCTGTTCTACGAAATAGTGTTTTAAAAAGTGGCTTTTTGTAACTGATTGAACAAAAACTATTAAAATTGAGATAAATCCTATTCCATAAGCATCCGAAACCAAACCTGGGATCAAACCCAAGACTTTTATATCTTAAAGTTGTGTTTGAATGTTAAGCGCTCATCGATTTTCAATTGTTATCTAAGTAAGGACAGTTCATTTCATAAACTATGAACTATGAGTGCACTACAAAATAAACACGTATTACATATACATATAAAACTAACCAAATGCTAATGTGCTAGTTATTGTAAGTTAATGAAATTGGTATTATGTAATTGGTTATAACAATAATAATTGTAATGTTAACAATATGAAATATTACCGAATTAATAACAGATATAATAAAAACATACTGTTAGTTTTGTTACATGAAAGTGAATAAAATAAACTGTAAATAATAGGCACTGACATGGTACATGATCTATCAGTCATTTAACATTAATTGTAAACCAAAGTAAATATTACCTTGTCAAAAGTAATTGTTTTAAATTATCGGCTTACGAAATGATATCTGAATCCCTGATTGTATAGATTCACAAAGACAAAATCGCTAAGCAAATGAAAGATGTTAAAGACATGAACTAGTATTTAAATACAAAAATAATTTTGATTAAGATCATGAGCCGATGAATACTAGACTACCATTGAAAACCTGGAAGTACTGGACGGCCGTTTCGTCTTAGTGAGGGACTCTTCAGCAGTGTGCATCCACGATCTTACTTGCGGGATTCAAACCCATGGCATTCGGTCTCGTAAGCGAACGTTTAACCTCTAGACCACTGAGTTGGCATTCAACAGTGTTAATGTCTAACCTCAACCAATCTCCATAACCCTATACTGACAAAAATATTTAACAAAACTGGTTTGACTTATGAGATGATATACAGTTGATCAAATATGTGAACGTAATAATGAGAAGACGATCAATGATCTTTTATTTCTACTCATAATATTATAAATATTCAGATTTCTGTAGTTAATATCTATAGTTTTCATGATATCAGGATATTTAGTTGGCGAGGTCCCGTCGAGATTGGTCTAATGATTTGATTACATATGTTACTGAGTAATCACTGTTTGAACAATAAATGAACCATTTTCGTCGATACACACTATTGAGGAGTGCTGTACTAGGGCGAAACAGTCATCCAGTGCTTCCAGGTTTTCCATGATGATCTAGCTTTAATTGACTCATGAACTCCACTATTAAAATTACTAAAATCTCTACAAAGACCTTTCTGATAATAAACTCATTTTCATCCCTTTTTTAACTTTCAGTATAATCAAAAGTCTTTGTATTATAGTTAAGTATACCAATTTTTTTAATGTGAAATACTTAGTTAAACAAAACGAAAAATAAACATGAAAAAGAGAACCTTTGTAATATCTTAGCAAACATTACGGATATATATATATATATATATATATATATATATATATATATATATATATAATTACCACTGAGTGATTCAAATCTAACATCATGTATAAAATTGTACAAAGTTAATTGAGCTCTTTCCTGATTTTCGTTTTATTCAATTAAAATATAATTGATATTGTCTAAAATTGGAACAGATATCTTGAGTAACTCACTTTCCGTTTAACTATAAAATACGAATGAATCAACAGCAAACTTTGATCAGTATGAGGTTAAGAAGATTATAAAGTTTTTAATTGAAATCATGTACCGACTGATGTTAGACTACCACTGAAAACCTGAAGGTACCGGACAGTAGGTGCGTATCCACAATCCCACACCCAGGAATCGAACCCAAGACGTATCGATTTCGCGTGTGAACACTTATTCTCTAGACCATTAAGTTGGCATTCAACGGTGTTAATGTCTAACCTCAATCAACTCACGAAATCACGCAACCGCCTACCATTTTACTGAGGTATATACCTGTCTCTTCTTGACATGGATTAGCTCCACTGTTCACGGCTTCTCACTAGAACTTCGAGAATTCTCTCACGAAGCTAGTCACTAGTGAGCACATGGTAAGTATTATTATTGAATTGACCTTATGATTTTAAAGATACCATTCAAATAATCAACTGAAATCTTGTGCAAATCAAAAATATTTTATAACATGAGTAATGAGGGACATGTAAGCGTATTTTGGTCGTAGAAAGTTAATCAGTTATTCAAAGTACGATATTAGTTTCTCCATCTTAATATTGTAGAAATGTCTCTGTTTAACTTTATTTATCTAAATGTGAATATATTCACACGAAATAGTACCTTCCTTGATGTTTTTCTTGTATTCATAAATAGTTATGTAGAACCTTATCCTCGTTTACAAACTCTCCATTGACAGAATCACCTAAGAGTTAGTGGAACAGAATTATAAGACAACGGTATGAAGAAGCTATATGTGGAAATATTAATTTGTCACTTGGACAATTACCTCTTATAATTCAGACCTGTAAATTATTTCCATCCTTATATTCTTCTCTTAGCCCTTGATTATTAGACAACCTCACTTAATATTTAGAGTCCTGAATCACTTTGTGATGCAATCTCTTGTATCCTTCTATAGAAATATATATATAGACATATAACTATAAATAAGGATGTACAGCTTAAGTCAATGATGTCGTCGAAAAGAAAATCTTCTTTGCTGAATTCTTTTGATGCTTATTCAAATCTATTTTAACATTCCTACTTCACCAGTTTGATTTGTATTTGATGAATAACTGATAAACTGATTTCTTCAAGAATGTATTATATGTATCAAGTAAATTGAAATAAAGACTCATTGATTTGTATATTACGTGCGATTTACATAAAAAGAAGTAAAGATATAATATGTTTCACCATGTCAATTTTACTCAACGATCAATAAAACGTTATCTAATAATTCTAAACACTGAAAAATAAACAGTTGTTCTTACTCAAATGTCTATGTGATCTAATTTGTTGTGGATTTCACACAGGAATCCGAGAGTCATGTTCTTGATTCAGATTGACTCAACTCTATATCACAATCGCATGTCGTTTTCAACTGCTTATTTATTTGTATCGATAGTAATATGAAGATTAAATGTATAGTCTGTTTGGATTTAACTCTTATCAGAAAATTTGAAAACTGTAAAAAGATAGATAGATAGATAGATAGATAGATAGATAGATAGATAGATAGATAGATAGATAGATAGATAGATAGATAGATAGATAGATAGATAGATAGATAGATAGATAGATAGATAGATAGATAGATAGATAGATAGATAGATAGATAGATAGATAGATAGATAGATAGATAGATAGATAGATAGATAGATAGATAGATAGATAGATAGATAGATAGATAGATAGATAGATAGATAGATAGATAGATAGATAGATAGATAGATAGATAGATAGATAGATAGATAGATAGATAGATAGATAGATAGATAGATAGATAGATAGATAGATAGATAGATAGATAGATAGATAGATAGATAGATAGATAGATAGATAGATAGATAGATAGATAGATAGATAGATAGATAGATAGATAGATAGATAGATAGATAGATAGATAGATAGATAGATAGATAGATAGATAGATAGATAGATAGATAGATAGATAGATAGATAGATAGATAGATAGATAGATAGATAGATAGATAGATAGATAGATAGATAGATAGATAGATAGATAGATAGATAGATAGATAGATAGATAGATAGATAGATAGATAGATAGATAGATAGATAGATAGATAGATAGATAGATAGATAGATAGATAGATAGATAGATAGATAGATAGATAGATAGATAGATAGATAGATAGATAGATAGATAGATAGATAGATAGATAGATAGATAGATAGATAGATAGATAGATAGATAGATAGATAGATAGATAGATAGATAGATAGATAGATAGATAGATAGATAGATAGATAGATAGATAGATAGATAGATAGATAGATAGATAGATAGATAGATAGATAGATAGATAGATAGATAGATAGATAGATAGATAGATAGATAGATAGATAGATAGATAGATAGATAGATAGATAGATAGATAGATAGATAGATAGATAGATAGATAGATAGATAGATAGATAGATAGATAGATAGATAGATAGATAGATAGATAGATAGATAGATAGATAGATAGATAGATAGATAGATAGATAGATAGATAGATAGATAGATAGATAGATAGATAGATAGATAGATAGATAGATAGATAGATAGATAGATAGATAGATAGATAGATAGATAGATAGATAGATAGATAGATAGATAGATAGATAGATAGATAGATAGATAGATAGATAGATAGATAGATAGATAGATAGATAGATAGATAGATAGATAGATAGATAGATAGATAGATAGATAGATAGATAGATAGATAGATAGATAGATAGATAGATAGATAGATAGATAGATAGATAGATAGATAGATAGATAGATAGATAGATAGATACTGTACATCATGTGTTCAAACCAACATTATTCAACTATCATTTAATCTCATGACTTGATTTACCAATCAGAATATGGCGTTAATTAACAGTGACCTTGAAAGTTTTATTATTTAATTATTGATAACAATAGCTGATTATATATACGAAAAGGAAATCATTTTTATTTGTCAATTCAAGTGAGTTTTTGTTTGTTTCTTTACAAAACTTAGATTTCAATTTAATTATTTTATATTTCAATATGAATTCAATTTATAATTAATGAAAATCAGCATTTGTAATTTATGGTTCAGCTTAAATACACATTGGATATCTCTATGATGTGTAAAAGTTGATGCAAATAGAAATACCTCGTTAATATCTCATCACTTTAATTTCTGGAGGCAAACCTATAAAAATAGTCACCTTTAATTCACTTGTTAATTACTTTATTTTAAGTATTACATAATCATGTATCAACAAACGAATTGATTGTTCAATGTAATTGAGTGCTTTTTTTGTTTGGATAAGGAGATTTGTGGAGACTGTTGAATTTCCATCGTTTACACCATGGATTGACCTTATTCAAGTAACCATTGAAAACTAGGATGCACTAAACAGCTGTTCCGTTTTAGTGTAGGACCCCTAAGAATTGAGCATCCGTGATCTGATTGAGCGTTAAACCCAAGACCTTCTGTCTCGTTGTAAGTACTTAATCTTCCTAGTGAAAAACCATGACCATTTGAGCTCAAACATGCCAAGTATGAGGCATTTACCTACCACACAATATTCTGGAGTGATTGAAGTTAGATGTAAAAACAATTGGGTGGAATTTTAGTGGCCACAAGGAATTCCCATAATATGACGAAAAAGTTGTCCAGTGTTCGTTGGTTTTCATTTGTTTCCTAATTGAGATTAGCTCGTGATATCAAACGTTTTATAGTTACAATGAAAATTTCTTGCAACACTGTCTTAAAATATGCTCGTACTAAATTGTTATGTCTTACGTATTTGGATTATTTATCCTCTGTTAAAATACGAGGGATAATCTTATAGTTACCTAGATCCATAATTTGACAAAAAATGTATATTCCTTATATTCCGTCTTATGGTCGTTTGGTACATGGAAATTTGTTTGTAGGCATAAATCTGTAGATGAACGATCTGATACAATTTACATATATTTACTTATTATTTCTTGTTGCTAAATTTAACTAGGAAACATTTTAGTTACTTACGATCACTTAATCATTATTTATTAAATTTAAATGTCATTGAAGTTATGAAACGTTGTTTATAAGAACGTCATAGACTTTTCAAATCAGAACTAGTGCAATCATAAGGAGCCTGTAGCTCACATTGAATCATTCGATGGCTGGAAAAGCTAGAGTTTTTATTATAAGTGTCTTCAAAGTATCATTCATGTATCGTGGAAGAGTCGAGTGGGTAATATCAAGGTTAGACACAGCATACTAAGGAAAGAGAGCGAATCAGCTGATAATATTATAAATGTACATCGACTGAAGTGGCATTAATATACGCAACGTATGCTTAACTAATTTCAACCTCGAGGAATGATGTTTAGTGGTGTAGGAGTTCAGATAAAAACCAAGAATAACTAAACGAAGATGTGATGTCAATCCATGAAGTCAATGACTATTGAAGTGGACCGTTTTGATAAGTGCAGACTACCTGTTTGTGGTCCACGTAAATAGTAAACGCAAACAAAGGTTGGAAACTTTTGACGGCATCATTAAGGTTTGTGTACAATGGCATTCACCTATTATCTCCCTCTAGATCTCTAATTTTTATCTTCATATCTTGAACAATTTTCTCAATATTTGGTCCTCTTCATTATAATTTTCACTGAAATTATTTCGACTTCTTTACTGTTCATTTCAAAATGATATGGCAACCTGGCCTTACATTTATACCAAACTCAGTGTTAGTGATAACTAACTAACAGATCTACTATTGGCTAACCTTCACTACTATTCAGGTTAGTACTAAAATAATTGACGCAGAAATTAGTTACCAATCTAATGAACACATACATTAGGTTAATGCATTTTGATGTAAATAACTGGATAACAACTAAAATATTTTGTGTATGAGATTCATCATCACTAAATTAGCTACAACTGTCACTGTAAATCAATGTTGAACCAGACTAGACTTACTGTAAGATATCAGTCCATTGTGAATTGTATATTCCCATTAAGTAAACTTATAGGGTATCAGAAGGGGTTTTGTGGAGAAATATTAGTAATTTCAATAGTTGAGATCATGAGTTAGTTGAACCTAGACCACCATGGGAAACCTGGAAGCACTGGACAGCCATTTCGTCCTATTGTAAGACTCCTCAGCAGTGTATATCCATGACCGCGCCTCGCAAGATTCGAACCCAGGACCTATCAGTCTCGCGCGCGAGCGCTTAACCACTGGATGCGCACTGCTGATAAGTCCCACAATAAGACGAAATGGCCGTCCAGTGCCTCCAGGTTTTCCATGGTGGTTTAGCCTCAACTAACTCATGAACGCAACTATAGGATATCATTTAAAATGATGAGCCAGTTAATAAGAATAGGATAAAATGTTTAGAACGTTTCTACAGAGAATTAAACATTGATTGTTTATTTCGAAAAATTCTTATCTGTTAAGCAATTTCTAATAGATGTCTATCTTAAATGGTGATTTTCATCACTGACTGATCTTAATTAAAGAACTATTTTAAACCAAAATGCACTGGACAGTTATGTTATCCTATTAATTAACTTTAAAAGATGAGTTCTCCGATGTTCCAATAGAGAAAAAACTAATTTGCGGAGTTAAAGAAATTTGAATTTAACTCGTTACTCAAAAATATCACAGAATGAATTTGAAGAAGTAAACTATTAGATTCAGATTCACTGTCTCGAACGTTATGATACCTAAAAAACGATGTTATATTCCAACTGTATAAGGTGGTAGTTTAGCACTTCTGACTGGTAATCTTAAACTAAATTCAATCAGTTATCCAAGATTATTTTGACCTTCATTGATTCTACACTTGTGGTGTGTGTTACTTATATTGACATAAGTAGTATATGATGTTAGTCGTGAACAGAAGATCTGACAGCAGAGAGACAAGAGGATCGAACAGTAAAGAATGGAAACAGGATGCAATTTGTATGAAAATGCAAGAACAATGAAGTCTGAATCATTTTGAGACAATTGATAGACATTTTGCAAATTAAACATTCATTTTATGGTTGTTAGATTTTATTAACAAGTCCTGTAAGGTTGTGTTAAACACATTCGACTGTCACAGGGTTTCCTGTTGACTACCTCCAACCACCATCTAACACATTCGACTGTGCCCAGCCGTGTTTTGTTCACTACACAGTCACTGTCTAGCTGTAATGAGCATTATTTCCTGTCATACCAGCTCTTTAAAGATCAATTTTATTTAAACTGTAGCGCAATCTGTGCATATACTAATGAACCATTAGTTTAAGCTTTAATAAGCACTTTATGTTTTGTCAAAAATGGCAAATGAGTGAGATTGAAATGTTGACCTTTACTGATTATGACAGCGTCTTTAATTGATAAGTATGTCATGTGTTTTAGTTCTTATTATTATAATTGCGTTCAATTGATTGAGGAGTACTAGAAAAATCAATTCTGTAAACTGTTAAATAATAACTAGTGTCAACTATGAAAATATAATTTAATGCTTTTTTGTGTAACACAAAAATTCGAATATCGTTTTTAGCAAAGATATATAGTAGCTGGCAGTTGGATCCAGGACGAACGTTCCGCCCGATTCAGGAGCCGTCATCTGGGTGTACCTTCATCCTAGAGTTAGTTTTCTTTCCAGAGCTCGAACCCAGTACCATTCGCTTCAAACGTGATCGAGCTACCCACTTAGCTACTGAGTTGTAATAGCCATTTGCTTGCGCAATGGGGTGAAGTTCAAATTCATTTGGTATTGTTAGCTTGAATCTTCCCATTGATGTTTAGGACTGTGACTGATCAGGTTCTCCAGCTGACGAGCCCCAAGAGGGCCGAGACGCGCGTCCTGGTTTCCACTACTAACCACCATCCATCTTTGCTTATAATGCTTGTGACCTAAAGTAATATCGAGGCAATACACACAGGATGCATATATATCAATAAGAAACTGATCAATTGAAATCCTAAACATCAATGGGAAGATTAAAACATACAATACCAAATGAATTTGAATATCATTTTGTTGGTTGACCACCTAGTTGCTTCGCTACTATCCGTTGTATCTAATTAAATGAGGATAATAAGGATAATCTTGGATTCATTTTAGGTAGACAACCTGTTCGCAGCCCATGACAGTATCTGGAAAACATTTACGAGAGTTAAGGGTGAAAATACTTCATCAAATCATCATTTGTTATAAACTTTCCAGAACGCTTAGGAAAACGATGGACCACCATGGAAAACCTGGAAGCACTGGACGGCCGTTTCGTTCTAGTATGGGACTCCGCAGCAGTGCGCATTCACGATTCCGCACCACGCGGGGCTCGAACCCAGGATCGCGGGTGCGATGCCTTCTATCCCTAAAATGATATTGGAAACAAGGCATATTCTTTATATTTCCCACACTTTAAATTCTGTATAAGACTGTAGTTTGGAAGATTTCCGCGGAACGGAGAAGCAGTTAAACCAGTGTCAAGTGTTTAAGTAAAGGATGTGGCACTATATTTGAAAACCATGTGACAGTCAACATTCGTTTCGTCCTAATATAAAACTCCAAATGATTAAGCTCGGGCTCACTGATAATTCTAAGAGCTCGAATATTAATTCTTGATGGAGAGCTGTTATTCTCCACTCCTGTTCAATGTTCCCTTTATTTTCCCGTACTATATACTAATTTTGGAATGAAAAATCACAGGGAACCTTCAATGCTAACATCTAAATGAATATGTGGTTTGAACAGTCGATATTCCTGAAGTATATTCACGAAAATCTTGACAGTCTACTTATTAAGATAAATAATTTTTGACTGTCACCAAGTTTGAATATAATTATTATTTGAACACAAACATTGGTACAATAAAAATGAGGTTATGAAGAGATCAAGAGAGGAAGGTGAAGATAATAATCAAAAAGATGAGTGTAAATTATTATGAAGAAAGTAAAAGAAAGTTGCAGCAAAAGCGCCACTGGCTTCTATTCTGAGCCA